ACTCACGCACAACACGCTCACGCACTCACTCACAACACGCACACGCTCACGCACCACACGCTCACGCACTCACGCACAACACGCACAACACGCACATGCTCACGCACAATGCGCTCGCGCACTCACACACACAACGCTCTCACACACAACATGCACACGCTCACACACAATATGCTCACGCACTGACTCACACTCACGCTCACGCACTCACTCACACACAACACGCTCACGCACTCACTCATGCTCATGCACTCACTCACACACAACACGCTCACGCACTCACTCATGCTCATGCACTCACTCACGCACAACGCGCTCACACACAACACGCACACGCTCACGCACAACACGCTCACGCACAACACGCTCACGCACAACATGCTCACGCACTCACTCACGCACAACGCGCTCACGCACAACGCGCTCACGCACAACGCGCTCAGGCATGCGCCAGTCCCCGAGCCCTGGCGGCATGTGGGACGCTCAGCTTCGCCGTTCTGCTTGTGGATCATTCCGGAATGCAGCGTGACAGTGACCCGCTCGGCCTGACACGTCCACAGCGCATTAACATGGCCCTTTCTTTCACCACAGCAAGGTTTATAATTAACCAGAATCATAAATATGCAGATGTTTCATGTTTAATTATATCATTAAGGATTGTGATTTTTAGTCATCCGGCAGGTAATGGGGTTTGTCCAAATGTGAGTGTTGCAGAGTGCGTTCATCTGTCGGGGGGAGTTCAGAAAAGGGCAGATGGGAATGATTCCCCCTGAACTTCTCTCTCTCTCTCTCTCTCTCTCTCTCTCTCTCTTTCTCTCTCTCTCTTTCTCATAGAGGAGTGTGGCTGTTTGGAGGTGTGGAATGGCTGCATTATGGAGGACACTGGGTAAAGCTCTCTCCACACACACACACGCACACACACGCGCACACACACACACACACACACACACACATGTCTGTATTCATATATTAGTGGGGACCATCCATTCGTTTCTTTGGGCAGAACCCTAATCCCGATGGGGTCAGCCTTAACCCCCACCCAGCCCTAACCTTAATAATAAGTAACCAAACAAAAGACAAGTCTTTTAGCATTTTTAGTTTTTTTATTGCAGTCACAGTCCAAAATAACCCCACAGCTTAAAAAAATTAGGTTTTTATCACATTGTGAGGACATTTGGTCCCCACAATGTAATATATACATAACCCACACACACACACAGCCCTTTGCCCCAACGGCTGTCACCGCCGTGTCCCCCCCCTCTACAGGAAGAAGTGTACCGTTAGTAACACGGGGTGAGACACGCCCCCCTCCCCCCCACTCGACTCCACATCCTGTCCCTCTTCACCTCCCCCCTCTGATGACAGGGTTACGCAGCCCCCGGATTGTAATAACAGAGGTGTCCGGGTTCAGTACCATCTCTCGCCTGCTTGGGGGGCACAGGTTGGGTCACGACCTCAATCTACATGTGAAAGCCCCAGCATCACACCCCCGACATTTCCTGCGGCAACAGAGGCCCCCACCTCCTCTGCAAAGCAATTTTAACATGCCCGTATTATTATGTGTATCTACAGTATTATTTATTAGTTTATATATTTATTATCAATGAGGGTGACTGGTTAGCAGTTCTTAGCATCTAGTGATTGTTAGCATTCATGCTACTTTGGCCTGTGAGATACAGGCTTCTCCCGCGCAGCTAAAACCCAAGCTGGTATGGCTGGCACCGAGGCCTGGCATACGGTGGCCACGTGGTTCCAGCTTGATCCTCTCCCCCCCCCCAGGGTGCAGCACCCGCGCAAGTTCTCCAAGTGCAGCATCTCCGACTACAAGGATTTCCTGCTGAAGGGCGGAGGGTCCTGCCTCTTCAACAAGCCGACCAAGGTGAGCATGCTGCCGTGCCGCGCCGACCGGCAGGGGGCGCCGTCGCATGGGCGTGCCGCTGAATGCACGCTACTGTCCTGTGCCGGCAGCTCTTTGAGGTCACCGAGTGTGGAAACGGGTACGTGGAGGTGGGGGAGGAGTGCGACTGCGGCGCCAGAGCGGTGAGTAAGGCACTACTGTCTGCGTGCGACCGAGTGCTTTTAATGTCTGTGTACTCACTGTGTATGTGTGTTTGCTAGGAGTGCTACAAGGAGTGCTGCAAAAAGTGCTCCCTGTCTAACGGAGCACACTGCAGTGACGGCCCCTGCTGCAACAACACCTGCTTGGTAATGTGTGTGTGTGTCTGCCAGTGTGTGTGTCTGCCAGTGTGTGTGTCTGCCAGTGTGTGTGTGTGTCTGCCAGTGTGTGTGTGTGTGTCTGCCAGTGTGTGTGTGTCTGCCA